TATATCTTCAGCAACAATACAGTAAAGTTCGTAACAACATATACATCAACTTGTAATTGCTACATAGTGCATACATTCATTCAAGTTGATATCAGATACAAAGTGGATACATTCATTCAAGTTGATACTAGCTACATAGTGCATACATTCATTCAAGTTGCTATCAGCTACATAGTGCATACACTCATTCAAGATGATACCAACTACATAGTGCATACATTCATTCAAGTTGATACCAGCTACATAGTGCATGCATTCATTCAAGTTGATACCAACTACATAGTGCATACATTCATTCAAGTTGATACCAGCTACATAGTGCATACATTCATTCAAGTTGATACCAGCTACATAGAGCATACATTCATTCAAGTAGATACCAGCTACATAGTGCATACATTTTTCAAGTTGATATCAGCTACATAGTGGATACATTCATTCAAGTTGATATCAGCTGCATAGTGCATATATTCATTCAAGCTGATACCAGCTACATAGTGCATACATTCATTCAAGTTGATACCAGCTACATAGTGGATACATTCATTCAAGTTGATACCAGCTACATAGTGCATACATTCATTCAAGTTGATACCAGCTACATAGTGCATACATTCATTCAAGTTGATACCAGCTACATAGTGGATACATTCACTCAAGTTGATATCAGCTACATAGTGGATACATTCATTCAAGTTGATATCAGCTACATAGTGCATACTTTCATTCAAGTTGATATCAGCTATATAGTGCATACATTCATTCAAGTTGATACCAGCTACATAGCGGATACATTCATTCAAGTTGATATCAGCTACATAGTGCATATATTCATACAAGCTGATACCAGCTACATAGTGCATACATTCATTCAAGTTGATACCAGCTACATAGTACATACATTCATTCAAGCTGATATCAGCTACATAGTGCATACATTCATTCAAGTTGATACCAGTTACTTAGTGCATACATTCATTCAAGTTGATACCAGCTACATAGTGGATACATTCATTCAAGCTGATATCAGCTACATAGTGCATACATTCATTCAAGCTGATATCAGCTACATAGTGGATACATTCATTCAAATTGATACCAGCTACACAGTTCATACATTCATTCAAGCTGATACCAGCTACATAGTGCATACATTCATTCAAGTTGATACCAGTTACTTAGTGCATACATTCATTCAAGTTGATACCAGCTACATAGTGCATACATTCATTCAAGCTGATATCAGCTACATAGTGCATACATTCATTCAAGCTGATACCAGCTACATAGTGCATACATTCATTCAAATTGATACCAGCTACACAGTTCATACATTCATTCAAGCTGATACCAGCTACATAGTGGATACATTCATTCAAGTTGATACCAGCTACATAGTGCATACATTCATTCAAGCTGATACCAGCTACATAGTGCATACATTCATTTAAGCTGATACCAGCTACATAGTGGATACATTCATTCAAGTTGATACCAGCTACATAGTGCATACCTTCATTCAAGTTGATACCAGCTACATAGTGCATACATTCATTCAAGTTGATACCAGCTACATAGTGCATACATTCATTCAAGTTGATACCAGCTTCCTACTGGATACGTTAATTCAAGTTGATATCAGCTACATAGTGGATACATTCATTCAAGTTGATATCAGCTACATAGTGGATACATTCATTCAAGATGATATCAGCTACATAGTGCATTCATTCATTCAAGTTGATACCAGCTATATGGTGCATACATTCATTGAAGTTGATATCAGCTACATAGTGGATACATTCATTCAAGTTGATACCAGCTACATAGAGCATACATTCATTCAAGTTGATATCAGCTACATAGTGGATACATTCATTCAAGTTGATATCAGCTACATAGTGGATACATTCATTCAAGTTGATATCAGCTACATAGTGCATACATTCATTCAAGTTGATACCAGCTACATAGTGCATACATTCATTGAAGTTGATATCAGCTACATAGTGGATACATTCATTCAAGTTGATACCAGCTACATAGAGCATACATTCATTCAAGCTGATACCAGCTACATAGTGCATACATTCATTCAAGTTGATACCAGCTACATGGTGCATACATTCATTGAAGTTGATATCAGCTACATAGTGGATACATTCATTCAAGTTGATACCAGCTACATAGTGCATACATTCATTCAAGTTGATACCAGCTACATAGTGCATACATTCATTCAAGTTGATAACAGCTACATAGTGCATACATTCATTCAAGTTGATACCAGCTACATAGTGGATACATTCATTCAAGTTGATACGAGCTACATAGAGCATACATTCATTCAAGTTGATATCAGCTACATAGTGCATACATTCATTCAAGTTGATATCAGCTACATAGTGGATGCATTCATTCAAGTTGATACCAGCTACATAGTGGATACATTCATTCAAGTTGATATCAGCTACATAGTGGATACATTCATTCAAGCTGATACCAGCTACATAGTGGATACATCCAATTAAGCTGATACCGACTACATTTTGCATACATTCAGTTAAGCTGATACCGGCTACATATTGCATACATTCAGTAAAGTTGAAACCAGCTACATATTGTATACGTTCAGTTAAGGTGATACCAGCTACATTTTGTATACATTCAGTTAAGGTGATACCAGCTACATATTGTATACATTCAGTTAAGCTGATACCAGCTACATAGTGCAATACATTCAGTTAAGTTGCTACCAGCTACATATTGTATACATTCAGTAAAGCTGATATCAGCTACATAGTGCATACATTCAGTTGAACTGATACCAGCTACATATTGCATGCATTCATTCAAGATGATACCAGCTACATATTGCTTGCATCCAGTTAAGGTGATACCAGCTACATATTGTATACATTCAGTTAAGCTGATACCAGGTACATAGTGGAATATTCATTCAAGATGATACCAGCTACACAGCCATAAAATATACGTATGTGTATACATTGCCTTTGTGAAACAGCCATTCAAATATTTCTGTGGTGCAATTATGATGACTTCAAAGTGCGCCTGCCATGGCCGCAATAGCACCCTTCAAGAGCAGCCTCCTCGTTGTGTGTGCTGGGTAACGCCAATGGCTCTTCACCCCCGTGTGGACCAGGGGTCGTATAGGTCCACAGGACAACCCGTTTGCCGTGGGTTGCGTCCCTGTGTCGGCAGAGGAGGGGAGTCTGGTGGTTGAGGATGACGGAACCGGCAATAGTGTTCAATAATTCCAGAACACTTACTCTTTTGACTGTAGAGCTAAGGAAATCGGAACTACGGCCTGTTAAAGAGGGAACTTTTTCTTTAGGCATTGGAAAGCCAGGAAGTGTTGATTCTTGCTAGATTTTACTGGCGCTTCCTTCACCTACCTCAAACGCTATCTCACCACTAATAAAATGCGAAACATCCGTGTTTGTGTCGTAATTGTGACGTAATTGTGACGTAATTATTGACTTATACATGACAATAATGTGAAGCAAAAATATTCCCCGTTCAATTATCGACGGTTTGATAACTCCACAACTGTGCAAGATATCAGCATGCCATGAACAAGCTGAGTAGTCCCGAGTGTGGGCTTTACAACATTATATCAAACACGATAGTACTATATGCCGTTCAGGAGGAGAAGATTTGTAAACATAGGCTTTCGCAGAGCTGTGACATTTTTATGAACAATATAGAAATGCGTTTTGACAAAATTAACCATTTTCCATGGGTAATAACTATGACACTATTCAAGTTATCGACATGCCGTGAACAAACTAAGTAGTCCGGAGTGTGGGCTTTCTAACTGCATATCGAACATGATTGTACCATATGCCGTTCTGAAGAAGAAGACGTGCGGACGTGTGAAAAATCGCAAAGTTTGTGTTTGTGTCGTAATTGTGACGTAAATATTCATTATTACATAACAACAATCTGAAGCAGAAATGTTTCCCATTCAATTATCTCGACATTGGTACTTTGGGAAATTAAATCCATGGTGTTTTCGAAGAGAGATATTTTTTTAAACCCTATGAAAACGCGTCTTAAAAATTCACCAACTTCCAACTCCAAAATCATTCAATATATCGATATTCATTGTGCAAATTTTGTAGTCCGCTGTGTGAGCTTTCTAACGGCGTATCGAACATGAGTGTACTATTTGCTGTTCTGGAGAAGAAGATGTTTAAGCACAAACACCGTCAAAACGTGAAAATCGGCAAAAAATTCAGTTTTTCCAAAATTGCGGGACATTTCATCTGCTGCCCGACTTATTTTATGCCTTGAATCAATTGAGTATGAAGATGTCTACATCGAGGGAAAATGTGGTCAATTTATCGCTCCTAATTTTAGAGATATTGGGGTTCAAAGATTTTGACGTTTTGGGTTATCTTACCGGAAGTAGGAAGTCGGGATTTTTTCAACCGGGCATCAATTTAAGCCTACATGCTATCATCCCTGTAAGTTTCATTGAAATCGACACAGTGGTTAGTTCAGGGCAGCTGGGCCAAAATTCGTACAAATAATAATAAGAATAATATTCGGACGAAAACAGTAGGTCTTCCAGACGGTCGTATTTATCAATTTCTTGCACGTACATTCCGATAATCACAGACGATTGAAGTGTCATTACAAACAGCATCTAGAATGTCAAATATTTGTTGCTAAATGATCAGTTGCTAAGATCTTGACATATCCATCACCATCATCATCACAATCATCACAATCATCATCATCATCATCATCATCATCATCATCATCATCAACATCATCATCATCATAAGAAAGCAATTCCTCATACGTAGATTCTACCTCAGGATATAATGTATTTACACATACTAACCGCACGATATCTATGTTAGACATATCAAATGCACGTGCATACCCTTGAAAAGTCATGGAAGTTGATTGTCTGGTTATAGCAGCCGATCGTGCGGTCCGGGATTCCAGGATAGGTCAGCATAGATTTGTTGTGCAGCTCGATGTCCGTGGGGATATTTTCCCCTCCCCTGGGTGACACGGTGCCGTGAGCATACTATGATAGGAACATACTAGGATATAGTTTAAAGTGCCCGGAATATGCGTGAATGTAACGTACAGTGTCACGATCATACTAGAAGATAGTTTAGAGTGCCCTAAATAACTAGAATAAAAGGTACAGTATTGCAATCATACGAGAATATAGCTTGCTGACAGTGTCCCAAACATACTGGGTAAAGATCATACTAGAATACAGTTTATAGTGCCCATAATATACCTGAATAAAAAGTGATCGTGATCATACTAGAATATAGTTTGCGAAGTTTCCTGGACATACTGTGTGATAGCTTTCGTGAACAAATGTATTTGAATGCTCACCTCTGATGGTTCGGCTCCACGTGCGAACAGTACAACGAGAGTGACAGCGAACAATTCCGTTTGGAGGTGGCTGAGGAATAATATGTAGTTCCGTTTGTCTCCAAAACAGCAATTATTTTTGCATGTACTGCAGTTTCGTCAGATTAATAATTTATGTTTGTACCATGTTTTCAAACACAGTTATACATTCGGTAGCAAGTTGACATTTGGTCAAGAAGTAGTGACCCCAATGGAGAGCCCCCATTTCTTCATGCATACGAATAATACGTTCAAGTAGCAATTTAAAGTGTACACGAGGCAGTTTGTCGAGGTAGATTATCTCCAGTGTCCAACATTTTTCATTAAATAACCAGTTCCCTTCCGCTGAACTAGAAATTGAGACCAGTGAGACCACTTGATGTTTTTTTTTTCATATTTAGATATATGCAAACAGATTCAGAGGGGATAATCTGTCCACAAGGCTGCATGACAAAGGGAACGAGTCCCGGTTTCAAATAGTCAACTTTCCTTCACGTCGAGGAATAGTCTAGGTTCAATCAAGCTTGTTGCTTTCGTCAAGATTGAAAATAATGTCTCAGAGATGCGTTGACTGATTATGATACTCTAGGCCTTAGAAGAACTTGCAAAACGCTTATGTTACTCGTGGAGGACAATGTGAAATATGGAACACCAAAGTAAAAAATGATGTCCGATGCAATTCCCTATTTTGAATTGTTCTCTATGTTTCTGGTACTACAGAAAAACAAATGACCAAACCCATGTTGACGATTGCATAGTGACATATATACTGAAAAGAGCCCCCCCCAAACCAACCACACACACACACACACACACACACACACACACACACACACACTCCCCTTGCATGATAAAGCACGTGTAGTCATCAGCTCTCACGAAAAAGAAACGATATCACTTTTCGTGGATCACCAACAGAAACTTATATGTACACAAAATACAATGCGGAGGCTTGCTTAAGACGCAAATTTGTTATTACAGTTTGAACTTCGACATTTATACGTCATGTTCTCCTTCGGATGAATCAGTGTAAAACTTAACATGTTAAGAAATATCTACTGTCTACTCATGTACATTCATTGTTGTCGATAGTAACATTGTTAGCCAACATTAGATTACTTGAGATTATGTCCTTCATAGGTTTTCAGGGCATATGTGATAGTTTTGAGTAAACACTCCACCTAAAACTGTTCTAAAACTGAGGAAATAGTTTCAATATTTTACCTAACTTGAAACCAATGTTAAATGTGATTTTGTTGTCGTCCTTGTCCGTACGCTTAACCAAGTTGTACGTTTACATTATTTAGATTATAGTTTGAAGGCAGGATAAAAGTTGTCTCCTTAAGTCTGCAAGACTGAGTGTCACCTCACGTGTTCATTACTTACATTATAGTTTGAAGATAAAAGTTGTCTCATTAAGACTGCAAGACTGAGTGTCACCTCACGTGTTCATTACTTACATTATAGTTTGAAGATAAAAGTTGTCTCATTAAGACTGCAAAACTGAGTGTCACCTCACGTGTTCATTACTTACATTATAGTTTGAAGATAAAAGTTGTCTCATTAAGACTGCAAGACTGAGTGTCACCTCACGTGTTCATTACTTACATTGTAGTTTGAAGATAAAAGTTGTCTCATTAAGACTGCAAGACTGAGTGTCACCTCACGTGTTCATTACTTACATTATAGTTTGAAGATAAAAGTTGTCTCATTAAGACTGCAAGACTGAGTGTCACCTCACGTGTTCATTACTTACATTATAGTTTGAAGATAAAAGTTGTCTCATTAAGACTGCAAGACTGAGTGTCACCTCACGTGTTCATTACTTACATTATAGTTTGAAGATAAAAGTTGTCTCATTAAGACTGCAAGACTGAGTGTCACCTCACGTGTTCATTATTTACATTATAGTTTGAAGATAAAAGTTGTCTCATTTAGACTGCAAGACTGAGTGTCACCTCACGTGTTCATTATTTACATTATAGTTTGAAGATAAAAGTTGTCTCATTTAGACTGCAAGACTGAGTGTCACCTCACGTGTTCATTATTTACATTATAGTTTGAAGATAAAAGTTGTCTCATTTAGACTGCAAGACTGAGTGTCACCTCACGTGTTCATTATTTACATTATAGTTTGAAGATAAAAGTTGTCTCATTCAGACTGCAAGACTGAGTGTCACCTCACCTACTGCTTTGCGCTTAGTATCATTCCGCACATGATATCCGCAAAAATATATTGTGCCTGTGAAAATATAACAATCACTGAGAGATGTATTGAAACAGTGAAGTTACCAATGATGAAGTTTTCCTTCCAATGCAGCGGAGAACAATGCGGTCGTATTTATATCTTCAAAGTGTGATATCGTACGTGCACAAAAGTTATGAAATCATCAGAGCTGACAATTTCACAGCTGATATGATACGCCCTTGTCAACAAAAAGTGTTAAGTCCGTTAAATGTACTGATTTAAAACACGAGCAGGATACGTACACAGTCTGGCAGAAATCTGATCACTCTCAGCTTTATATCAATGCAATCAGTTCCATAATCGTTGGTATCACTTGTTAGACGTTGGCGCAGCGTCACTTACTCAGACGATGCACAGATGGGCTTGCACCTAACATGTTAAATTTAGGATGAGAACACAGAAGCTGTGGAGACAGGCTGCACGGTCTGGTAGGACATGATATAAGTAAACAAGTCTAAAAACGTAACAGTCCTTCACAAGTGTACGTTGCAACACTGAGTTTATATATTCCACAATATATGCTGGATAACAATAATCGATATATGTAAATTTTGAAATTATGAATAATGATCTATTTATTCATTGACAAACTTATGAAATAAAACTCATAAGAAATGCCAATATGTGTGTGTGTGTGTGAGTGAGAGAGAGAGACAGTGAGAGAGAGAGAGACAGACAGACAGACAGACAGACAGACAGAGAGAGAGAGAGACAGAGAGAGAGAGAGAGAGACAGACAGACAGAGTGAGAGAGAGAGACACAGAGAGAGAGAGAGAGACGTTTAATCGTGTCAATATTATAGCTATATGGCGATGGAAACAATATTTATGCCTTTTTTTAGTGGCATTTTAGAAGTGAGACTTTCAATATGGAACAAGTTTTTATGGATAACAACTTCTTTATTTCGTGAGTGCGACGTTTCGATACAGATTCTTGTACCGTTGTCAAGCAACTCTTGCTTGACAACGGTACACGAATCTGTATCGAAACGTCGCACTCACGAAACAAAGAACTTGTTATCCATAAAAACTTGTTCCATAAAGATTTATGCCATCACGTTGGCTTTTACTCACTGTGACTGTTGGTTATGCTAGCTAATATCAAACAGACGCAAGCCAATCGAATTTCTGAAAAAGTAGACACTATCCTGTACTTTGATCAACAGTAAACACTGGCAGAAGGATAGCATACTTAAGCTCCTTAACCTACATTGTGCCACCGGCATATATGATCTCATTTGACCATACTAATTCATTTAATTTTAAAACATAAACCGATTACCAACATTTACCTACAAGTTGAATGTCTCCAAAATGCCAACAGTTGAATGAACATCGACAGAGGAGTACATATGTGTGTAACGAGAATAACCATTAAGACATCGTCGGATAGCGACCTCTTGACACTGGACAGATAGGCTGAGTAGGTGTAGCCGGTATTGTTTTGTTTTTTTAATTGCATGACACGGACTCGAACATAATTGCATACTTACTGGCACATGAAACAGTAACACCAACACAGGCACATACACGCGCCTACGTACTCACTTTGACACAGACAAAAAAGACAGAAAAATCACATGGGCCGGGTAAGACACATGCATACACGTACACGTATACCCTAAACACACGCACACACGCACGCACACACACACCAGAACCACCACTACCACACACACATTCACACAAAGAGAAAGGCGCGCACCCCCACACATTGTCACAATTACAGACTTGCGCGCGCGCACACACACACACACACAATCTCAAAACCACTAGTTAAGCAAAATAGTATCTGATGTTGTTTCACAGCATAAATTAATCTGTGAAGTATGAACACGTAAAACAACAACAGGTGTTGATAGCCAGCAATCCAACTAAAGCCACCTACTAGACTGATCATTTCCCCTTTTGACAACGGGGACATTGTTAATGTGTGTTTCCCTCTTGTAAATGTAAATGTCTTTATTGGAACTATTACTCTTCCGTGTGTACGAGCTGATAGTAGGAGGTAAATATACTCCCACTCATTGAATTCTTAGTGTACACACACGGACAGAATATATCTCGTGGACCTGACACCCTTCAAATTCCAATTCGCCGTGAAATTCTCCTCGTCACCTTCAGACATTGTTATTGTATCTATGCAATGTATTTACTTTCGTAGGCTGGGAATATATGTTCAGATATAGACATGTGCTTAGGACAAAGGTCCATGAAGGAGCAGTGGGATTGTTTTAACCAAAAATTTCTTCACATATTCCAGGATCGCAACTTCCCAAATCTCGTTCGGTTTTCAACATAAGCGTGTTTATGAAAGCTGTGGCTACTGGTGTCCCGGGTACCCAGTCTCTACATCAGTATGTACGAGGCCTGTTACTCTTGTAACAATCATGCATGCATGCATGCATACATAGATATATACATACATACACACACACACACACACACACACACACACACACACACACATACACACACACACACACACACACACACACATACATACATACATACATACATACATACATACATACATACATACATACATACATACATACATACATACATACATACATACATACATACATACATACATACATACATACATACATACATACATACATACATACATACATACATACATACATACATAATCTTTTGTTGTATGATGCCGAAGTCTCGAAGTGATCTATCACGTATTATTGTTTTATGATATCCTTTACAGCAAATCCATTTAGATAATAAATTACCATGGTGGTCTAAATATCGTACAATTCCTGAGAAATGGAAAGAATTTA